AAGATCAAAATTTACAAAATCAAATAATCCCAAAATCTCATTTTTGGGCAGAAACTAATGATACATAAAATGATCAATTCATAGACTTCTAAAATGAGATAGTTTTCTATCTTTTTATATAGGCTATAGCACTGAGTTATAGTCATCGCGACCAAATTTCATGTATTTCGGACATGCAATAATGATTCAAATAATTTATGCAATACAACTTATCACAACTGATATGGCAGATTACACCATGTAAGTAAAACACTCATTAAAAGAGTTCCACTAAGTGTTCTACAGAAATTCAAGTTGGATTATAAACTTAACACTTATATGAAACTTTCAAACTAAAAATCACTCATTTTGGATGAGTTAAGAGGAAGATATAGTACCATAAAGTTACATGCACACATCTGCCATTAGTTGACAGATTGCACACTTAACTTAATTAAATTGGTTAATGCCTCTAAACTTCATATTTTTTAGTGAAACTGGGTTCATATGAACCCTAACTCATAAAAGAACATTTCAGAAAAAGAATCATATACTAAGAGCAAGTAAATAAAGAGATATTAGCATACAAAGTAGGGGTTATCTACTGGTGGTTTCACAGTTTGCACAGCTAAAGTGTTTTAGGTGTTTGGAGATCAAAACTCCATAATTTCATGTGATTCCACTTTCATGCAGGAGATAACCCATATATTTAACTCTCAAAGGAAGAATAATCCTTTTTCATCGAGTTTTGAAAGAGATATGGTCATTGGAACATATACGTACAAATCTGTCAAATTCGGACATATTGCATGTTCACTTTGTTTTGAGTAGTTAAAACCTCAAATCACCACAATATTGAATGAAATCGGTGGAATTTGAAAGGTAACTTATTAAACTAACATCCAGAAGAAAAATCAACGATTTTGAATGATTATGTAGAGAGTTATGGCTGTTTAAAGTAAGGTTTACCTACTGAAAAACTCTCAGATGCACATATATAATGTTTTGAGTATTTGGGGAGTCAAAACTCAATGATTTTGAGTGAGACCAATTGGATTACAACCCTAACTTAATAAATAAACGTTTAGAAGAAATCTCATAACATTTGAACATGTCATTTACAAGATATAGACGATTTGTGCACATGCACATAATCTATCAGCACCAAAATATATCATTTTTAAGAAACAAACCCACATGCAACATGATTTTACCCATTTTCTTGAGTTCTAATGTTTGGGTCATAGATTACCACCATCATATGAATATTTTTACATGTTTTTGGTGTGTAATCTCTCCTTAAAACTCAGAATTTTTGGAGGTTAGAAGATAGTAGATAGAAATGCATAAAAAGTGATTTTTCTCCCAAAACTTACAAGAAAAAGAAAGAGATGAGTGTGTTACCTTGTTTGTGGATGAAATGGATGAAATATCTTCAAAAATCTTGCCAAAATGATGAAGATTAAGTTGAAAATCGGCTGAATGAGATGGAGGATGATGATGTTAACTCAAGGTGACTCTTGAGTTTTTAGGGAGAGAAAGGAGAGGAGGTTTTGAAAATTGAAAGGAGAGTTATGAGTAATAAAGAAGAATGATGCTTTTTATATGTGGCCAAGGGAGGGAAAGAGAGGGGGGAAAAAGGCCGGCCATAAGGCCCAAGCCCACCCTCACACATAATTTTTTTTTTATAAAAAGAAAGCCCAAAATGCACAAAAGGCCATTTTCTCAATTTTGACATTTTTCTTCAAATTAAAAGCCCACGATGACTAAATTTATTTAAATAGAAATGTTTTATATTTAAAACACTAAAACTTAGTGTTTTATATATATTGGGTATAAATTAGAGCATTTGGTACTGTATAGGACGTTTCAGATAATTTCGGGTCGGAACCGGACTTTCTAAGCAACTGCCGGAATCTCTTAAAAAATTTCAATCAAACTAACCTAACTAACTCCTAATCTTATAAATTACCTTCAATAACACTAATATAATCTTAATAAGAGCTAACCTGAGAGTTCGAATTTGACAGTTGTCACAGTACAATACATGGTAATATTTGCTATTATTACTTGATCTGGATGACACTAATGAGACATGTATACTTGTATGATTTACTGGTTGTTGTAGCTTTTTTCTAGGTTATACTTTCCTCCAACCAGTTGTTCATTAAATTCACAACCAACCTCTCATTTATTGTGACATCTCTCTCATGATTCTTACATTTGGCGTTCCCTGTTGACCCACTTGTACTAGTTCAACCCATCAAGCAACAACTTTTCTTACAAGAAGAAGTCTAATCTTTCCTCGCTTTCTTCACACCTATTTAGCATTTGACTCACTTTAGTAGATAATTCATCAATCATCACTTTACTAGACCCTACTGAAGTCATATACATTGCTCTTGAAGAATTCAATGTAAACCTATATTGTATTGCACGGATGAGCATATTTTAATATATTCAAAACATCAAGATCATTGTGTGAAGCTTGTAGGCCAAAATCTAGTCCTTGCCTAGAATTTTGAAATGATAATGCACACATCTTTTAAACCTATTTCTTTCATCATAACATTCAACTCATTTACTAAAAACTCAACAATATTAACTAAATCAACGAACTGATATTTACCATTCATGTACCCCTACCAGGAAAAGTCGTGAAAAATACCTCCATGATAAATCTTTAATGTAATTAACAATGGATAAATATATGTGAACAAAACCAAATGCAAGTTTTTTAAGAGGAAACTAACGCCTAGAATGAAACTTAACATAAAATTCAAGAACATGTTCATGTGGTAAGTTGCTTCAAAGCAAACACGATATACATACCATTTTTTTGGGTTTTAGATGAACAATCTCATCGAAGGATCAGTTGAAGATTATGAAGTTTTGATGTGCTGGAATCATAAGTGTTCACACAGTGGGCACAAAGTCCACACAGTGGCGGTACAAGTGCACGCCGACACTATGATCGCTTCAAGTAATAAAGTGGTATAGTACCAAGATCGTTTCCACAGGGATTGGACTACTGAGAATCAGAGAGTTTCATGAACTTCATGAGCATGTTTCGATTTGAGAATAAAAGTTGAGTTTTGTTGGTGCAAAGCTTTAAAATACATAATAAACCTTTAAAATCAAAAGATGGGTATGGGTGTAAGTTTCCCTTAAGAAAATTATAGGAACAGTATATTCAGAAACTCATGGGACTTCCATAAAAACTCCAATCTCTCGAAAGTGAATTCTTATATAATGTGCCCACAGAGTGCCCACAAAGTGTCCAATTTTATCAGTTTTAAGCTTGCCAAATTAGCTAAGAGATAAAAAGATATCTGGTTCCACTAGCCTGAAGATTTATACTCAAATCTCTTTGTAGTATAAATCTCGACTAATATCTGAACATTAGCTAAAAACATGCAGAATCTGTATCTCTACATGATTATCAAAGACGCTCTCAAATCTTTGTACATCACTTAAGCCGTATTTCAAATCCGCCTATCTTTAGATCAATGATCTAATATTAATACTTCAAAGTGATCGGCTTATCCACGTTGAGCTTAAGTCCCGACTTAAATGATCAAACTTAAAAATTAATAAAAAGTGGCAAAACCCAAGTGTGCCTTCAAGTTCTTAAGTTTGACTCACACCCAAACCCAAAGGGTGATTAGCTCATAATAAAATTATAGAACATAAAGGAAAAAGAAGAAGAGAAATGCATAAGAAATACTTGAACGGAAATTTCACTAAAACTGTTGCCCACAGGGGGTATACAATGCACAGTAGCGAGACTAAAAGTTAAATACGAAAATAAAAGTAAATACAGAAACTAAACTTGCCCTACTACTCCAGATCTTCAGATGAGAGTAAATGATCCAAGGTTGATGTCTTCCAAGTGAGAGAATGCTTCAATTTATAGGGAAAAAGTGAGAAATGGACATTCCTTTTACCCAAAGGAAGAAAGCCTCATTGACTAGAGGGCAAAGACTTCCCATCATTTTATGTCAACTTTTCTGGCTTTGTCACCTTTTTTGAAAGAATGAAAAAGGTAAAGTTGCCTTACCCTTAAAATAAGGAAAAAGTAAAGATGACCTTTTCATTAAAATAAAAGGAGGACTACTTTAAGACAATTTTTTATTCAACAAGGCCAATTCTTCTAAATAATGCGAGATTTTCGGATTTGATTTCAGAATTAATTCACTTAAATACCCAAGAGAACCAATATTTAAATTTGTCCAAATTCGCTTTGAGGAAAATACGAAGTGAGCAGAATGTGAGCAAATAGTGGACATTTTACCAACAACAACGGTTTTTTAGAAAATAATCAAATTATTGATCTTTCATCATCTCTTAAAATATTTTGGACCAAACATACAAAATAGAAGCAAAGTGGGTACATAATACACATAAAAATAGGGTATTGAACAACAAATAACTCTAAAAATTGAGAGTTATCAAGTTTACGATAGGATCGAAAGTTTTTTTTATGGTTCAAGAATGTAATCAGACAGATGGAATGAGGGTTTTTTGATTAGCGTGCACTTTAATATGAAAGATAAATTACAAATATTAAATGCGAAAGAATGACCTAAAATGACGAAAATGCCCCTGAGTTATGCGCAATCCTAAAAATAAGAGAATTGGATCAAGAAATATAATGGCAACAAAATTGAAACCGATAGCATCTAGAGTAAAATACAAATTTGGTCCCTGTGGTTTGTTGATTACAACACTTCTTTCCTATAATTTTTTAAAAAAATATAAAAGATGACAATCATAGCTTACTAAAACATCCATATTTGATCCCTCCCTCTAATGCCTGTTAACTTTTATCATTACAAGAAAGGTGTTCGAGTCTTTTTCTATTATTATCTCCTTTTAGCAAAAGAGGGATATTTGGAGGGTAATCTGTAATTTTCATAAAAGTATAGGTACCAATTTGTAATTTAGTCTAGAAATTAAAGAGAAAAACATGTGACAATTAATTGTGATGATGGTGGGGGGAAGGAACGAGCGGGCGGAAGACAGTTATTGGCAATTTCTGACAAAAGGAGGGAGGGAGATAATGCATCATGTTTTGTCGTCTCCCTCTATCCATTCCTCAAACTACCTTCTCTATCAACAATAACTCCTACCTGCTTTATCAATGCTACAGCCTACCTCCATAGATATTCATATGTATCTCTTTCCACGCCTCTAGAGAACTCCAGAATCACCACATGGCTACTGACACTGAAGCACCGGTCACTGGTGTACATCCGATTCGACAAGTACTTTTGATCTCCGCTGGTGCAAGTCACTCCGTCGCTCTTTTATGTAAGAAACCCAGTTAATCATGGCTGTTTGTTTTGCGTTTTCTTTTTCTTTTTGTGATGATTTAGACGCAGAGCTTTGGCTGGAACTTGGAAGTACTCTGTACATTGTGTATGTGTGGAGTTTTGTGGTAGGATCTTACCTAGTTAATCGTGCACTTTTTCAGTTTACGTCGGTGTGGAGTTCTGTGCTATTATGTTATTTTGTAAAATAAACAATTGTTCGTGAAATTTGGTGTGGTTTGTGTTTAGGAGACTTACGATTTGTCGATTGAGGCCCTTGTACGGCCTTACGTAGGCTTCGATTTACTTGATTGTTTATCTCTGGAGAATTTTGGAACGACACATGGTGGGTATGAGCCTTTTGATATCTAGGGAAGGATTTTGAAGATGGATCTTTTAAGTTTTTATATTGACGATGTTTTGATCAAAGGGAAGTGCAACTTTGAAGTTCTTGTTTCGAAGGCATTTCAGGAGTCAAGGAACCTTGAGCACTTCCTGTCTTATTGTGTGATGTGGTTGCTAGATCGTAACGGCATTTTCCTATGTCTGAAGAAATATGTCATTGCTATCATAACTGGGTTACTATACTGGAAGTGGGGTTGCGGAGGAGTGATCCAAGTTACAGGAGTCCTATTATTTAATCTTTTCTACATGTTTACTGCATACCCTGATCGTGACTTGTATCTGCCTGTGGTATCCTTGTCTGTTTATAGTTTTTCTTGTATCCATTTAAACAGATTTACTCCATAAATAATGAAACCAATTCCTTCACTCTAATTAAAATCCCGAATACCAAGCTTTATCAATGCAATAAGAGATATACCATTGCATCTTCTATTTTTTATAAATTGAAAACTAATAAGCAGAAGGTTCACTTTCTCTTGTATGGAGTATAAATATTCACATGGGCCATGCGTGGATGTGCCGTAAAATTAATTTTCCTTCCAGGAGCTATGCCCCTGAAACCCTTCAAGGGGTGCTGCTCCACCAGGCTCCTGCATGCATAGTGGCATAGTGGCTTTACATACTTTAGGCAACAACAGACTTTACAACTCAACAATCTCGAACTTGGAGGCTGGTCACGTCAATTGCACTCTGCTCAATAAATCTTGTCAAACTCCAAATGTAAACAATCTGCAGTAGTGCGGCACCTTCTCATCAATCAGTTCTGAAAAGCCAGTTGAAGCTGTATAGATCTTCAACTTTTCTGTAGTGACCCTCGGCAAGGCGCCCGCACCCTCGACTCCTGCATGTTTTGAATGTCAAGCAACATTACACTCCACAACACACAGGTCCAGATTGATTGTTGTCTGTGTTGGAAGTAGAGGTTGTGTTTTTCTTTCTTCTTTGTTATTTATCCATATATCTTTTACAATAGAAAGCCATGGGTAGGGGACTTGAACTCATGACCTCTAAAGTATTACCATTTAGGGGATGGAGCCACCTACCACTAAGCTAAATGCTTGATGGCAGGAGGTGGTGAGGTGTTTTGTCAGTTTCTGAAAGATCATAGATCATCATATCATTTTTGTAAGGAGTTGCTGCCTGATCACAGCTCTGGTTTTCTGTTGTTTAAGTGACCACACAGTTTGATCCAGGTAGCAGGAAGTTTCCTGTTCTGTGTATCGGGTGGAGTATTCTCCAATTTCCTGCCTTAAAAGTGTTACCTCGAGGAGAGTTTCTCTTCTGCTTGGCAAGGTAGACTTGTATATGTCCTAGTCAAGGAGGTTGGGTATAGTTTCCTTACAGCGCTCTTATATGTTTTTATTTCTTTCAGTATTGTCATGGAATCATGCCTTATTTCTGATCTCTTAAAAAATATGTATTGTATTTTATGTTGGCCATATATCTTTCCACATATGGTTTTATCACATAACATTAAATATTATCTTAACTTATTTCTTTGGGTATATACATGCAGTTCATGTTGGTGAATGTGAATTTTCTTTTGTTGTTTACAGTATTGTCCTTGTAATCACACAAGCTGCAAAAAAGATGGGTGTTTGTTTTAGCAAATTTTGTTAAAATAAATGTCTTGAAGCACACTACTCGTGTATCATGCAGAACTTTAAGATTCTTCGATTTCACATGTCTTAATGTTAAAGTTGTTTAAAGTCATCCTTTTGTTTATATCTGTATTATTTGGAGGGGGGAGGGGGGAGGGAGAGGAGATGGATGGTTTTATGCTAGACTATCTGTTGTATGTAGGAAAAAATAACAATAAGTTGAATAGATTCAAGCCTTGACATAAATGGTCCGATATTTTGATAAATATCAGAGGAAGAAAAGATAAATGGTCATTCTCTTATTTATTGAGATTGAGATGATGTATAGTGTCATTTGATCCCTGCTCTTCCTGAATTTCGCAATTTATGCCATCTTATGCCACTTATTTACACAAACCTGGCCTGGTTCATGTTTTCTGTCTATTTTTATTGCCACTATTTGTAATGAAGTTCTATTCAAAGTACAAACCGGTGATATTGACTAAGAAGGCTCTACTTTGTTGATTCTTTCAGCTGGAAATGTTGTTTGCTCGTGGGGAAGGGGAGAGGATGGACAACTAGGCCATGGGGATGCTGAAGATAGGTTGTCACCTACTCAGTTAAGTGCCTTGGATGGGCAAGAAATAGTTTCTGTTACTTGTGGAGCTGATCATACAACTGCATTCTCAGAGTCACAACTGAAAGTATACAGCTGGGGATGGTAAGTTCTCGTCTATTGGAAAACTCAATGCTGATATGCCATTCGAATGCCATGTCTCCCTTTGATAATTATGCTTCAGATACCTACATACTCATGTGCTCAACATGAAATTCTCATCTTCAAGTGTTAGTCTTTACCTCTTTAAGAATGGTGAATAAATGTAATGCATTGGCTCTATGAATATTATAGAAGTACACGTTGATGATGCACCTTAATTTATAAGAGAAATACAAAAATAAGGGTACTTTTGGTGATCCTATGGGATGAAAGACATCTTAACATCATGGATTTTTGACAAATTCAGGGTTTTGTGTGCAAGTAATTGCCAGTTTGTATAAATACTTATGCTCTCAATGCTATGTGGTTTGGGTGTAGTATATAATCAAATATGTCAAACACCCTTTACTAAATGTGTTGGACAAGTAACATGATATTGCTCTTTCACAATCCTTGTAGGGAAGTCAAGGAGTGTTCCAACTCTTTAGTAACTCCTTAACAATATGCAAGGGTATTTTTACTGTGATGAGTGGATTGAAGATTCAGTATGCAAAATTGATATGACAGGGGAATATAAAGTGATATGTTGATATAGGAGTTTTTATGCATTTCCCGAAATAAATTGGAAGTGTGAGATTTCTGGGTTAATACGTTAAATAATATATTACTACTAAGTGGCAACCTATAGATGAGTACATAGGTCGGCCTACCTGGCTAGAAAAAATTACAGATATCCTAATACAGGTACAACTAATACTGCTCAAGTTAGCGCATAGACATTAGACATCCCTTATGCTGAACTTGCTATAGAAAATCAAATTGGGTCTTCCATAGAGGCTTTGTTGCAACGCCTACAAGCTCGTACTGGATCTAAATCTGAAGACCAAAGATGGATGAAGGTTTTGTAGTAGGTCCGGCAACTTTTCAGAGTTTGTGGAAGATCCGATCCCTTGTTATATCAATGGCTAATAATTGTCACTTTATAACTGCATCAATCCGTGTGGAAGAACGCCTAACCCTCATAATTGGGGCATGGTCTATGTAATCTCATTGATGGCTAATCTGCCATGACTCTGTACTCTGATTCGTAGTAAAGGCAGAATATATGTCTTGTATCTTGCTCTTCCGTGGGACAATTGTGCCACCAACAGAGGCATGGCGTAGGTACTGATGGACACATGAATAGTTGGGCATCTTTTCTTCTCTCTGAAAAGGCTTCTAGGTTCCTCATATATATATATATATATATATATATATATATGAGATATTTCTTGCTAGAGATCTCTTACGATACCTCTAAATGAAAGTGTACCCTGTTGGAATCTTTAGGTGTGCTTTGCCTTAAGATACCATGCTATCACAATATCGATTCATATGGACAACCAAAATAATCCTTTTCCCTAAGTTGGTTCCTAACAAGTTCTGTGATCTATTTGATACTGAGGACACAACATATGTATAAATTCAATTTAGAAGATTTCTCCCAAGTAGTGTTCGATGGGAATATTGTTGTCTTTGCTGCTAAAGCTTTTTACCCTTCCTTGAAAGGAGGACAGTCATAGCCTTATATGTGGCTTTATTCTTTTGTTACTTGAACAGTTAAGTTGATGACTGATGGTATTGATGATTTAACAACTGTGTTTTTCTATGCTATACCTCACCATGTTCAATTGTTCTCTTGCTACATCTGCCTTGTTGCCTCATTTGAACATTGTATTGACAGTTAATTGTGTTCGGAGAATAGTTTAGTTGAAAGAGCTTATCCCCCTTATCCTTTATTGATCTCAGGGGTGATTTTGGGAGGCTAGGCCATGGCAACTCAACTGATTTTTTTATTCCTCAGCCGATAAAAGCATTACAGGGGCTACGGATAAGGCAAATTGCTTGTGGAGACAGCCATTGTTTGGCGGTGACCATGGAAGGCGAGGTGCAGAGGTTTGTATCTTAAGGAGTCTGCTTCCACCTTTCCTCATATGTTTTAAAATCATGACTTCACTTTCACAAAATTTGGGTCGATAGGCCTCCATGGCCATTGGTCACTTCTATTATCCTTAGTATTTTTGTTTGCACGATGTTCTTATTTAAACCTGGATTTGGACCCAAACTTAAGTGATGGCAGGAAATCACATGCGAGGATGAGACGTAAGTACTTAGTTCTAAGCTAGAGTTTACATTGTAAGCAGCTAACAAAAATGCCAAGTTGCATACACTATTAGTGCATAGTTGAAGTGTGATTTTTAGCATTAAAGTGGGTTCCATTTTGTTGTTCTAGTGTGCTATGCATTAAACTTGGGATGACAAAAGAAATGACGAGGAATATTCCCCTCTGTTTGGATGAAATTTGACACTACTACTCAAACTTGGAACTTTATTCAAGAACAATTCTCCCTTTTATAACTCAATTTTTTCGTCTCACTCGATGCTTACAAGCTACATGGAAACACCTATTTATAGTGGGATTGAAGCAACTACCACCACACATTTCATATCTTCTTCTTAATGTTCCTCATAATTTTCATGACGATACAAGTACCAAGACAAAACTTATTAAATAGCTCAGTCATCATCCATTTTCTAGAATATACTCATTCTTGGACTTGGATTTGTACTTGATTAGTATTGGACCTCATAGAATAAGCTCATAATCCAACACCCTCCAGGCCTCCACTGCACTTTAGGCTATACTTAATGAGGTGGTTTTTCTCTCTTCCTCGAAAGACCCAAAAAGCCACACCTAAATGAGTGAGACTTTGCCACTTTCATTGAGGCACCCCTGCTATTCCCTGGAAATACCCAAATGTTTGATTTGACCTCAAGACCTCTAGGCTATCTTGAGAAGTCCCAACTATTTGGACAAGCACAGATGGATTTAGTGAGATTTTGCAACATAAATGGGAATGACGAAAGACATATCAATGTAAGTAGGAGATGCTATACAGAAATCCTTAAACTGCTGGCAGTGGGAGATATATTTCTTTGAATCCCCACAGACCGCACTAGTTATACAGTCGTATGTTGAGAATGTGAAGACTAATTTACTACAACATATTACTTGAGTAGCTTAGTTATATAGCTTTGCAGGTATCCTGGAAGATCATGTATATTTGATCCTTTCAAAATTTAGCAGCTTGTACCTGTACACTATTCATGTAAGTTTGTTATTGAACAGAAGACAAAACATAAACCAACATAATTATATGTACTCATGTAATATGTAGGAAATTATGTTCAATGTTACAACAAACTAGTTACATGCTCTTTAAAAGTGATCATTAGATCACTAATCACTACAAAAGATAAAACTTGTGAAAGCAAGAAATTGAAGTTGTAAATCAACTCCACCCTCTTACAGACCACCAAAGAACAAAAAATGAAACATAAAGAGAAAGACTGATCTGTTTCTGACATTGAACCAACTCAATAAAGCTTCATGTGACTTGACTTCGACGTAGAGCAGTTTGATGTAGATTCATATGAATATAAAAGAGTTGGAGCTATTTGTTGATCCTTCATCAAACAATAAGATGTACCATAAAATGTCACATGCTCTTATTTCACTTGAAATCAAATTTCTCCTGGTATGATTGTTCCTCGTTCCATATATGATTAAACATTTTGGGTTTCAATTTTGATACATTCTGTTCTTGTATTTGACTTCATTGTAGTTGGGGCCGAAATCAAAATGGCCAACTTGGTTTAGGCACCACCGAGGATTCTCTCGTTCCGCAAAAGATTGAAGCTTTCCAGGTAATAGATACATTCTATCATAAGAATTAGTAGGCATAGGGTAATAAGAAAGCAATTCTGAAAGCACGTATAGGCTACTCACCCACTTGGTGTGGTACACCTGTGTAACACATATGCTACAAACTGATACTACTCTAATCAAATCTGCACATATCTGAGTTTTTTATGTGATTAGCAAAACTGCATTTGAATTCAATGTTAAGACTTGACATCCAAAATTGTGTCCATAGGATATTGTCTGAATTTGAATAAATATCTTTTACATGTATTACTAAGCCTTACCTTTACCTTATCTCTATTTACTAGGATATAGATTGCCCTAGTAGTTTATATTTATCCCTGAAGTTTATCTTTCGATTATAATCTCCTTTCTTTGAGGTTTCTCATTGATGAAGTATCAGAAACTTATCTGTTCTTCTGATATTTTCATGCGGGCCACAAAGCTCTTGATATGAACCCAAACTCATGACAGCCAGTACCACTACTATTACTAAAACCCTATACCACTTACAACCCTAATTGCGAGTTGCTGCATGCCATCAGTCGTAAACTGAGCCAGTCGGTGGCGGTGGCCCAACTGAGGTTGATAAATCTACATGTTAATGGATATACAAAAATGAAAAAGTTAGTAGCCTGTCATGTGTCATAGCAAAAGTGAGTTAAGTATACATTGTAATCAAGGTACAGCTATATAACCTAGCATCTAATGCAAACTTGCATGTATGTTTGTTTTATCGATGGCTTGACATCATACCAAACATGCAGTTGATACAATCACCCAAAAATTTGTTTTTCTAAAGTTACGTGCTTAAAGAGAAGATGTACCGATATGTTTTCCTATGTTGACATCTTGGTTCCAAGGTGATCAGTAGTTTCTGCAGCTCGATGTGTTTCAGGAAAATAATACCCTAAAGTAAATTGCATCCATCATATGATTTACGCTGATATATAACTTATGTAGGAGACAACTGCAGAACAGAGCCTTGTGCAGCATGATTATGTGTCACCAGCAGTCTTGCATTGATTATATCTACTGACACCATACTTGACAATCAAAAACTGCTCAATCATCTGATGTTAAATACTTTGCTCATGGAAGTAACTTGAACATGATCATCGCTGTCTTTAATGCTTTTGACATCAATGTAATTACTAAAAGATGTGGGATCCAAACAGAGGGAATAGAGGATTCCTGACCGGGTCAATAAAGTTATGAAAGATTTTGAGTGAATATTTGCGACAAGAAATGACTCCTAATTAAATAAAATTTAGATTATAGAGCATGCTGTTGTAAAACTAGATGACCCCTGATGTTTTTTCTTCTTTTCACTTGAACTTTATATGCTTTTACTAGGGTGTAACCATCAAAATGGTTGCTGCTGGTGCTGAGCATACAGTGGCTATCACTGAAGATGGTGAGCTGTATGGCTGGGGTTGGGGTCGATATGGCAACTTGGGTTTGGGTGACAGAACCGATCGCAATATTCCGGAGAAAGCTTCAGTTATCAATGTATGTAGCCATTCTGTATATTTTTTTTCATAAAATTAATTATCGAACAAGTTGCTGTATAATGGTATAATAAAAAAACTTTTGGCAATCATGTATTGCTAGATGCTACAAGGGTAATATTCTTTCACTGGAGAACCACTGATGTTTTAGTTCATTGAATTGAATCTTGAATGTGTAATGAACTGAATGCTCACCATATAAGCTATTTACCCTCCTATTCCAAAATAGACGTATGTGGGATCTTTCTAATTTCAAATTTAATGCTTATTAAGCAGAAAAAATATGCATTTTGTTGCAAACTAATCAACAGTATTTTTATATATCTTAACAAGTTCCATGTCGTTGTCACCTTTTCATGATGCATTTAAATCCTATATCAGTTTTGGTGCTGACAAGTAACATCTTGGATATAAAAATGTCAAAATATATCTTCTTTGGAACTGAGTAAGCACTATTTCTGCTGTTTTGTCGTTTATCCTTTCTGCACATAGTTGTTTCCAATTTTTAATACCAATACCTTATATGACTTTATGATGGAGATCAAGGATTTGCTATTCTATCTGGTTGTGATATTTGAAGTTACAGGGGGAGAAGATGATACTTGTTGCATGCGGTTGGAGGCACACAATCTCCGTTTCTTCTTCTGGTGGTCTATATACTTATGGTTGGAGCAAATATGGTCAACTAGGACATGGGGATTTTAGGGACCACCTTGTTCCTCACAAACTCGAAGCATTGCAGGAACATTATATATCACAGGTAATTGTTTATGCGTGTGTACGTATATTATATTTAAATCTTTTAGTTGCAACTGCACAGTTTTTCTTGTTTCTATTATAGCTTATCCTTCTTGTTTGACAATTTATTTCTAGGAAAATCATCATGGCAATCCTTTAGTTGCAAATCTTTTAGTGGCAACTGCATAATTTTGTTTCTTTAGTGTTAAATTGTTTTTAGTATTTTTCATTTATTGAAATTCCAATAATGATTTGCCTGCAATTTTGGCTATCTCAAGTCTAAAGGAAATTGTTATAATCACCCTGGAATTATTCCAAGTCTAAATAAAAATCTTGATGCCATGTTTTGTTGGGGAATTAGGTCAGCAGAGAAATGTAGAACACTTGGATAAAAACTGAGATTGTGTGAGAGCTCACTTTCATTAAGTAATATTTCACCCAAATTTGTCTGGGTATCACAAAATCTACTCGAGGATATCTCAATCTTCCATCACGATTTTGGCAGAAATCATAACCTATAAACCTAGAGAAATCGTAATGGTTTGTATATTGAACCTGAGAATGACTACCCTATTAAATGAAATGATTGATGGAAATAACTTGGCGGTTATGAAATTAATTAAACCAATTACAAATTGGTGGAAACACTCATCAGCTGATATGCAACAGCCGATAACCTGTTAGTGGGTAAACCATCAGCTGATAACCCTTCAGTGGGCAATGTATTTGCTGATACCCCATTAATGGGTAAACCATCAATCGATACCCATCAACTAATAGTTGATTCTCATCAGATGAAACCCATCAACCAGTATCGATCGATGGGTAAGTTTGCCACTGATGCAATTTATCAGTGTTGCATAGACACTGATAAAAAAACATTGTACAGCACCTAACACTAAAGTCGTTAGAGTCTGCTCTCTTAAATATCGTTTTTGTTTCAGGGCGTTGCTTGAGCCCCTAGAGGGCGGCCCCCCTCGATCCCACCCATTGACGGGTAACCCATTAGCTAGGCCATCATTTGGAGTTCTGCCCTTGGAACCCGCCAGGGGCGAAAGGACCCCGCAAATGTAATGCCTCAAATCCTAAATGGGTGCCGTTACTTTCTTTTGATACTACTAAGTCTTGTATGTGAACTAAACTTAACTTTATTTCTTTCATAACTACATAGCTTATAATACAACAGAATTTTGTTATTGATTAGAATAGTACTACTTCATGCTATTCCTCTGTACTCCTTCCCTGAGATACATACATGGAATATGTAAGCTGAAAGCTAAAGTGAGTAGTTATGGTTTCATGTATATACAATTTTCATAATACTTATCAATTTGTGAATGGTAATTCACTAAAACTCTTTATCATACATAAAAATACTCTTTTGAGATCTCACTTGTGATATGTAAGTATGCCATTCTTGCCTTGAGGTTTGCTAACCTCGGGGTCCATAAAGGTTGCCTTGTAAGGTCCGTTTGCAAGACATCCCTTCATTCTATATCCTGTATGTTCGATATTTATGGTCGTACATAACATGCATAAAACTTCCATGCCTTCTGTGTAAAACACATCATAAAATGCATATATCTTGGCTATATAAACGTATCCTCATTTCATGTAATCCAAACATGCCAAAACGTCTTATCGAATTCTTCATAATGCATAAAATACATTTATATAGCATATATGTATCTCAAAAAATCTCATAATGTACTCACCTTGTTTTGCGTGTAGCTTTTCTTTTGATTTCACTCCGAACTTGGTATCATATTGAGAGTGATTTCTTACTTTGGTATGGAAATAATGGTTTCATCTCAACCACTATTTATAGGCGATTACAATGATTAACTACTTGTTCTTCTTGCTCTCATGGTTGTATTCTTAGGAGAGTTTAACACCTCATCCTTTAGATCAAAGATTCTTGACACATGATGCTTCTAGCTCTTGATTGTCATGCTTACTAGACTGGCTTTGTCATCAATAACTTTGCTAACACATACTTCTAGCCTTAACAACTCATAACTAGCTTGCTTTGTCATGCTTACTAGACTTGCTTTGTCATCAATTATTTTGCCAACTCATACTTCTAGCCTTAACAACTTATAACTAGCTTGCTTTGTCATGTTTACTAGACTTGCTTTGTCAAGTATTTAGGTTTGATTTTTCATGTTTTGCCTTGTAAGCTATTTGTCATTTAAAATATGATCATTTAAAGATGCTAATGCTGTTGGAGCCTTTTTAGTGCACTTAACTTGATCATAATACTTGTATTTAAGGCTTAAAATGCTGAAATCTAACAAATATAGAAACTAGGATGTTATAGCAAAGGGGGCGCGTCCTCCTTGACCCCCACCATATGATGTGATCCTAGGTTCTAGTTAGCTTACGTGAGTGTGTACTCTTGCACCTCCTAGCCCATATTATAGCCTAACTAACAACTCTATTCTCTTGTGAATGCGATTACACAAATTAGCCTGTGATTTCACTAAAATCACCAACATGTTTAATAATGTATATATATGATACATGATATATGGGAAATCCCATCTTATAAATGACCACTTAATATAATTATCTGTTTCATTCTTGTTTCGACTATTTATCTTGCATGATGCATAGTTAAAAGTTTATGTGTGCATAGAACATTTTCTATATGCGATTCCTTGTTAATACAAGGGCACATATTTGAATAAAGTTTGATTGAGAAAATAGTAAAATGAGAGAACAAAGCTATGTATAACACCCAATATTTCTATTGGACTGTGGCTTAAATCCTTATGGCGCAACTTCCATGCTACTTGGGAAGTCACATGTGAAGTTGCGTTCAACCTGATCTGACTTACAGTACATGCTTTGCGAGTTGGATGTGAATTCTAGCTAGCCACATACTTTTGAGTACATGACACCAAAAGTGGCTGAGATGTTACATAGATGATTGTATGTATAAGCTATGCTGTTATAATCGCGATATATCGCCGATATATCTGTGGTGAAATATCGGTTCCAATAATTTCGCCCATATTTACCGATATTTCACCGATATTTTGATGGAAAAATCGGTCTGATATACCGATTTTCTATAAGGCAAATGTTTGGCCTTTTTTTTATTACATGTTGGGTTTAGTTTTTTGGGCCTCTTTATTTGGTCAACCAATCAACACATAATAGGTCTCACGCTTCTTCTCTTCTCGGTTCTTTATAGTTCACGCTTCTTCTCTTCTCGGTTCGTTCACAGTTCATGCTTATTTCTCTTCTCGGTCTCCTTCATCTTCACGGTCTAGCTTCTTTATTTGGTCAACGAGTCAACATATTAGATGTTGTTGACTCGGATGCCAAACCTATTGCTTGCGATTAACTCGTTTTTTTAACACTTTTCCTATTTTGTTTTGTGAGACTTGTTTATGTGATGTTTTAATTTTGAAACTATATTTCTAAACTTTAATTAATGCATATGGTATGTTTATGGATGCATACATATAATATATATGCATATATATATATATATATATAATTCTAACAAATATTATATTAACCGCTATTTTGGACCAATATATCACCGATATAACCGAAATATCGAATATCGGTCCTGATCGATATTTTGTATTTTGACTGTAGTAACAGCATAATGTATAAGGATTAAAGTTACGGTACATTATATGTGACTTTAACATGTCACATGCATGTTGTGTTTGACATATATGAATTGCCGGATGAGAAGGTACACGACTTGGCAAGTTTCGAGTAAGTAGTGTATAAGCATCCGACATATTTTATTACTAGATTTGGGTTACTTTTACTTTGTAATCTTTTACCCCCAACATACACATAAATGACGTTCATTATATTGTAATAATAATTTATACTGCATCTTCAAGCTCGTAATCGCTCCAATCAATATAGTGGATCAATTCTCTGCGTCCACCGCTCTTGGTTCCTGATTGGGTTTTCGATGTAAAAATTCCGCTCTCTTTCTCTTTATTTTTTTGCTATTGTGTTTTGTGATCGTTGGTATTGATTGTTTGTTGAACATCGTTCAATTACATGTTATTACAACCCTTCTGTATTAAAATCATATAGGATGATTTGGATTTATGTTGTTCGGGACAAATGACTTTTAGTTTGGCTTTGCAATTGGAAAGTCGGTCAAGTGCTTAGGTGGAATTATTTTCACAACAATTGGTACTAGAGCATCCAGAATTAATATTGGGATTATGTTTTTTTTGGTGAACTATTGTTATAGCAACTATGAAATTCGAATCCAGTTACTTGATAGAAATACTAGATTATGTTATGACAAATGAAGATGAAAGATATTTTTTTATTCAAATGGAATTTGCCCAAGTCGGTTTAGGAATTTGAGAAATGCCATCATCTTGGTCCAATGAGGAGAAAGAAACAAAGGATATAAAGGCTTCATCTTAGATTAGACTTCATTTATCAAATGATATTTTACAAGACATACAAAAGGAAAATTGTACTACAACTTTGCGGTTAAATTTGGAAAGGTTGTTGATGACAGAGTCTTTTCAACAAATTTGCACTTAAAGCAATGATTGCATTATGTCATCTCACTAAAGGTGATTTTGTTATTGATCATATCTCAAAATTCAGAGAGGTAATCACCGACTTGGATAACATGGATATGAATTAAGATTAAGAAGATCTTTAGTTGATCCTGCCTTGCTCTTTACCACCATCATGTTCTAGTTTCGGGGATATTATACTTCACAACCATGACACCCTTACTCTTGAAGAAGTCTTTGGTGCATTGAGTTCAAAAGAGAGAAAAGAACAAATGGTAGTTGGTGTGTCTACCTATGGGATACTAGAGGTAGATCATTTGAAAATACTTCACACACCTCTAAAAAAGCAAGATCAAAATCTAGAGGCAAAGCCAATTTTGCAATTACTTGGAGAAAAGAGACACATAATTGACGATTGCTACAAGTTGCGAAATAAGAACAAGGCAAATGCAAAGGGAAAAGAGTCGTGTCCTTCTAGTGAAGCCCATGTGTTGAGCAATAG